GTTTGACGAAGATAGCAATGAATGTACAAATAAAGATCTGAGAAGTTTTTTCAAACAGCTATGAATTTTTATAATTTTTACTGTGTAAATTTGTAAATTATTATTGATCTTGTATGACGGTTGATTCGTAATTTGTCAAGACCGGAAATCTTTTAACGCAGTTTAACCTCCTGACATTTTAATTCATTTTGAGTTCACACGTATTGGGCGTGTTTGTCGGTGGGAAAATCCTAATTCAAATGATTCCTCACTGTCGATTTTTATTATTTCTGGTTTATTTGTCACATTATAAGCAATACATTATTTTTGTTTTACTTCTAATGTTGCATATTGTTCATATATTTCCGCTGCATGTTTTCATTTGCCGTTCTATTCCCTGTCGCAGTTCTATCTGCGTGTTGTCAATTTTCGCGAATTTTTGTTTTTTTGCCGGGGATCTCCTGGCAAACGCCCACCCCTTCTTTTTGGCAATTTTCCATGTTCAGGACCCTGGGCTTATACCCGGATAAATATGGTACATGTATGCACTCTGAGAACATTATATAGTAAGCAAGTATTAATTTTTCTTTTAATGCAAAGGCTGTTATATTGATACATTTCAAAGAAACAAATAATAGACACTGTCAAATATGTTTTTTGTAGTCACTGATGCCTATACAAGAATACAATGTAAAATTTTGACAAGAGTGTTTTTTTTGTGAATAGTGATACGGTACTTAAAAAAAAATCATGCTGTTTTTTTCCCCCACCAAAATCAATGCCAAAAAACTGCACTGCAACATTGATTAATCACTTTAATGTTGTTAGAAATTTTCAGATCTTCAATTCCGAGCATTCTGATGGACTTATAACCGACTTGACCAAATGATACATTTCAGGTTAATTACTGCATGTTCAAAACACAGCAGAAAACACTTCGCTTTGAGTATTTGCATAAAACCAAAAACGTTCACTTACAACGAAATTAAGTTAAATTTTACTTGTAATTTATAACAAACTGGTGAACTGATGGTGTTATATTCACGACTGAGTAATTATCAAATGTAACAACTCCATGGATAACAAGTAAGTTAAAACTTTTATTTGCCAACATGAGTCCTTCAGTATGCAAATTGCACTCCATTGATTTTTGATGAGTTTGATGTAAAATATTAGGAAAAAAGATATATTCCCGGATTTTGTTTTTATTAAATCCGCCCTTCAGTATACTACAGTAGTATATTAGTAATGGGTTCACTATAAAACTATAGCCAAATTACCATAACAATGAACACAATAAAAAAATTAACATACATTGTAATGCAAATGTGTCACGAATCCAGGACATTCCCAAATCATCAAAAAATAACATATTTCCATACACTTATAGAATCTGCATTTATAAATATCACCGAAAGCCCCCACCATTCATGCAGAAGACAATCCTGATTACTATGCCTACGATGTTGAATGGCTCATAATGGATTCCCGTGCGTGGGCAGTTCATAGAAATGCATATGAGAACAGGAAGTGGGGCCACACTTCTCCAAAGACTAAACCTTGTTTTGTGCAGCGAATCCGACACGGGGTAATAACATCGCGTATTCTTGACATATGTATGACATATACTGCGATGCGAAAATAATAGTGACATTTTGATTAGCAATTTCGCAAAATCGTTGTATTTATTGATTTCAGTCGGTGAGCTTGTCAACAAAACAAAAACAAGGTACAGTTCGGTTGTACGCCGCTGCCATCGCCGGATTAAACTAGCTTCAAGGTCGAAAGAAAGAGCGCATATTTATCCTTGTCTGCGTTTTTTACAATTTGAATAGAAGTTAATCAGACACATGAATTAAAATGCAATAAAAGAAACAATGCCTAATAACTACTCACTGTTTAGTGATGATTGTTGTATGCCTTTGATTTGGATCACGATCATTCGCAGTTTGCGAGAGGTCGGCCATCTTAGTAACTGTTGACCTTTGACCATGCACGTCACTAGGCTATATATAAATCATAATTACCTCACATTATTTTCGTTTTGTCAAAATAATTAACAAGTATTGTGAAATTCAGATGAAAAAGCAATGTATGTATATTTAAGAATTTCTTATTTTAAAGATAGGTCAGACAAAATTGCTTTCACGCATGCTCTGTAGAGGGCGCATATTTCGAAGATTGGACAGCGTAAACATTGTAAATGTGTGTTTGATGTGTTGTGACCTGCTCCTGTCATCGGGTTTACCATCCTTTTTTGTATCATGGCTGTGTAAAAAGAA